AAATGAAATCGAAATAAATTTTTGGTTTATTTTTGTATCGTTTATAACTATGTTATAATAATTCAAGATTTAGAATTTTATATGGTTTATAATGTAAAAAAAAAGTTTGTTTGTTTCAACAAACATTATTTAGTTCTGTTTTAGGTTGAAAAATGGTCGTTGTGAAAGACCAAACATTTCTCATTGTTATAATTAATAATAAAAAATAGATCCAAAAAATACTACATATATTTTTTCTTTGTCAATTGTTATTTGGCTTAATCTCAAGATATATAGATTTCTCTAAAAGCAAAAGCATCATTGGAGTGAGATATATTTTTCTTTTCATTATAATTTTGCTGAAAAATTTCAACATGCAGATCAGTTTTTTTCAAAGGAGCTCAAACGTACTGGAGAAAAAAAGCAGGTCGATAGTATTCAGTTGTGAAATTTATTGGGCCGATATAGCATCACTTTCTTGTGTTCAAAAAGATTCAGGGCACCCGCCTCCCACTTAGGAAACTTTTGGCTACGGACCTGGGTAAGACTTGAGCAAGGAGATCCTTTTTGATTCGGCAAAATAAAGATCCCGACAACAAGCTGTCTAGTCGTAGCGAACCAATTATTTTCCATTATAGTTATTTTTCTCTTTATTGTAGCGACAGTGATCGATGGTTTCTAGCATCAGCAAAACACTAAGAAGAAGAATTCAATCAAGACATCAAAGAACGATGAGTGCTTCATGAGGAAATCTTTTTCAACCTTCTATTTGATGAAAAACAGGTAAAACTTAGCGATTTTTTTCTTTCTGAAAGCTCTACTTATTACGTTGCAAAATGGTTTTTCTTTAGTCTTTGCTTTTCACTCATTTGAACGGCTATGAGGATGTGGGTGTAAGTGCATGTGGATGTGGAAGAAGAGAAATCGAACTCTCACACCCAAATCCGCATAGGTATGCATGGACAGGAAACAATATTGAAACAATGGATGTCTGTGGGGAGAATAAAGTTTGCCTCTCTAAAACTCAAGCTCATATTTCACATGTGAGTTTTGAAAAACAGACCGGCATGAGTTACAAGACACTCATTTTGACTTTTTTTGCTAAAAACCTTTTGTCAAATTTTTTCATGTCGTATTTTAACCATTTCTCAATTGCAAGCTACTTGTATCGAAATTTCAATCTCAGATACGGATAGGACATGAAAGACTGTGCTATACTCTATATTATTCAAAGAAGAAATATTACACCTAATGTACACCTCCTCTGAACACTCGTAAGCTCTACTTCACAAGAGTCGTAAAGAAGTTGGAAAGAATTGGTCAAAAAATGGAATTCGCGAGCTTGGTCACATATATGCTATATTTGACTTTTTCCCCGTTTTTGTTCCTTCTTCTAAACATAAGGGTCAGCAGAATTTAAGAATTCTGTTAAATGTGTTCGTATCACTGCCAGTCTACCACTAAGGACAAGCGAAATTTTTACAAGCAGTGATTATCGTTGTAGTAACAACAAGAACGGATAAGGCTTTCAATGAATTAGTCAAGTCTCGCATAGAAAATGGTCGTTACATTAATTCATTCAATCCTGAATTTAAATCGGTCTATGACTTATTTGAATTGGACATGCTTCATGCTTTATCCAAATGAATAATTTTCAATTTCTTGTCGATCCAGTTTTTAGGTAGATATTTTCTCTCTTTCTTTCTCGTTTTCTATTAAAGCAATTAAATGATTATAGTAAACGATGCGGGGATTACACTGTCTATCGGACCGAAACGTTTCGGTGAATCTGTATTAACAATAAACGATCTACCCGATGATCTTTATGCTATACTTATTTCTCATAATCAGTTTGATCATCTCAATTATTCTAGTGTAAAAAGTTTAAAGGAACGCTATGGTGAACGACTAATATGATTCTCGGGCCGAGGTACTCCACAATGGTTTCTCAATAGACATGTGCACTATGTTGTCGAACTCGATTGGTGGGAAGAGTATCATCTTTTGATAAGAGACGATTCCTGCTGAAATTTTTTGCAATATTTATCTTTGATTTTTGTTTTAGAAAAAAGAAGTGAACATTGCTTTTTGTCCAGCTCAACACTGGTAATGTTCATTGTTTTTTTTTATAGTAATAAAATATTTTCTACTCTAAGAGTCGTCATAGTGCATTCAATTTGAACAAATCTTTGTGGGGTGGTTTTGCTGCTTGGGATGCTATACACAAATTTTATTTCGCTGGAGATACAGGTTACACTCATAACATTTCAATATTTCGACATATTGGCAAAAAATACATTTCATTCTATTTAAGTGCTATACCGATTGGTGCTTACGAATCACGATGGATGATGAAAGCTCAACATGTGTCACCAGATGAAGCTGTTCAAATACATATTGATGTTCAATCAAAAAAATCGATCGATATTCATTGAGGTACATGGGCATTAGCAAATGAATATTTTATGAAACCATCTAAAAAACTTGCTCAAGCAGTTCTAAGTAAGCTACTAGTCATCATCATTTATTGTAGTTAAACATGATGAAGTTTTTGACTTACCCTAGTAATACTAATTTACCATATTTAACTTGCTGTTCGGATGTGAATGTAGATGGGTGGGTATGAAAGTTCTCTTCTTCTGCATATCCACACCCGCACTCTTCTATAACGATCGAATGCGAATTGGATAAAGTATCTATTCGTAATAAATCATATGAAGTTTCATCAATTCATTATTCAAAGAATTGAAGCAAATAACTTATCAGTGGAGAGATATAGAGGTATATCAGCCTCAATTCTATATAAAATGACTCCATATGAATTCGGATAAATACAATCATATGAAGAACATATCATCAATGTTAAGTGACTTGTAAAAATTGGATCAAGTACAATTTTGTTGAATCGTTTGTTGACACCGATGAGAGAATAAATTTTGTTCCAGATGGGTATGGGTGTGAACAAAACAAGGTGCATATCCACACTCTTAAACTATTCTTTTTCGATGTGGATTAGTTTCAGAAGTGTTCCACAGTAGTCTGATTTGAAACGGAGAGCACAGGAATTTTTTGAAGGGACCAATGATGTTGCAGGGCGTAACTCCTACCAATGCACGAATCGAAAGAAAATTTTGTAACTCATCAGGCAAAAAGAAATTTTTCTGAGCTCGGAGAGAAGACGATTGTTGGTATTCCTGCTTGCTTTGATAATTTATGCACAAATGTTTTTAGTTTTGTAAGCGTACCTGATTTATCTGATTCTTTTTAATTATTCAGTGAATGAATCTGCAATCTATTATCGTTCTAACTACTATTACAAGAAAGAATACACATTTGAGGAAATTTCGTTTGGAACTCTTTGTTTGTTTAGTTGTTCTCATTCATAAAGTAATTACGATGAAATATTTTCATTGATTTAAAACGTAATAAATTCAAGTGATTCATTTGATTATTTTTGTAGTCATATATTGTTCATATTAATCAGATATTGATTGAAACGCTTAAGAACATTTGAATAATTTATAGAAGAATTATCAATATGTTGTTTGTAAATGTCAACTTACTTTGAACTATCAATATTGGCATTTTTTTTAAATTTTATTTTACTAAATCGATGTATTGTTGATGCTTTGAAACAAATGTAAGACCATGTAATGAAATAATTACTGTAGATAAAATAATTTACAATTTTTCATTATCGACTCAATATTAAATTGTTCAAGTACACCAGTTAAAATGCGATTGATATATAAGATCTTTTATTTGAGATGGTTATACTCAAAGAAACGCAACGATATAAGTTCAGTTTGGAACTTTACTGGTACATGTTCTCATCTTAATAATCAAGTTCAATGTTTCGAAGACAATATCTTATGCTAAAGCATAAACTGAACAAATGATTTTTCTTCATAGTGTTTTTTCAAGCTATTCAATCATTGCTGACCTTAACACAACTTTCTCTCTCAATTAATCAGAATGAAGTTCAGTTGTATTGTTTAATAGAACTTTTCTTCTCATCTTTCTATTCTTTAAGATATTTAGTCCATTAATTTATAACATTAAAAATCGATTTGTATTCAAAAACATTATTGCAACTGGCTATTCTTCAAGAACTTGATATAGTAAAGTTAAGGTTATTATTATTATCTCGTTGTACAACATTATCAGTGCTTGCTATTTTTTTTATTAGTTCAACATTCGTTTGAACTTCAAATTGTATAGTTCAATCTACATTGAACGAAATAAATATTTCATGAAATAGAAGAAAAGGTTTCATATTTACCATATATGAGCGTCTAAGTATAGATAAGAGATGCGGAACCACACTCTTCGATTACCTAATGCACCCTATTGACGAGTTCGACAATGTTTATCACTTGATTCTACTAATTTTAAACTTAACCCAATAATTGTTAATATTTCATGAGTACTCTGAATATTTTTTGGTTATTGATTGAGATCGTGCATAAATATTATATTATGCATTGTCAGGGAAAAATAATATTTAAATTTTTAATCGAATCGAATTATATCAACAGCAATACGCTTTGTCATTGTTCACCAATGAATATAGTTATTGCTTCAAATAATTATTTGATTTTTCGGAATAGTTGATGCAAAAATGAATATTTGTCTTTTCTTTGAATAGATTGCTTTTTTGTAGCGAATTTGATTGTATAGAGTGA